CCCTTGTACAGGGACAGAAGGTGCTCTAGTTTAGGACGACAAAAAATAATAATGTTCTCTGTTGGCCACTGAGTTCACAAGGCAAAAAGATTCCTAGGCAGAATCCTGCCTGGGTTTGGCTCTGCTGAGGTTCTGTGGAGGAAGAGGCAGAAAGATTAGCTGTAATTGTCTGGTGGTCGTGCTGGTATCCGAATTGTATAAATTGAAACACTGCAGTTCTCATCTGGACCATTGTTAAGATCAGCTCTGGGCCCTCTGCTGTCAGCTTCTATTCCCACTTGATTTCTCTTGGAAGTCTTGATTTTGCATTCTAGCTATTGACAGTAGTGCATGGCGCAATGTGATACTAATAGGGCAGTTCCTGTATAGTCTTGTAGTGAAGCACTGGGAAATGGAGAATTATATACATTGGTGTAAAGGAACAGGTAGAAATTAAATTTCTCAATGCCAAGTAAAAGCCAACACGTCATTTCAGCTATGAAGCCATCCTCAGCCATATCGGTTTGTGTCACTCTTTCACTTTTCTTTCCTGGAATTAACCTGTATGTGTTCCTACACAGTTACTCACCCTTATTCCTAAAATACTTCACTTTATATTGCTTTTTGTTAATAGGGGTCTGTTAATATCTCTGTAGCTTATGGAGGTTTAAAAGAAAGCTACAGGACTTTAATGTGTGACTGTTGTGTTAGCTGATGACTACAAGAAATTATGGGAAACAATTTTGTCTTCAGTTCAGTCTCATCCTGGGTTCCATTTTACTTAAGTCCAGGTGGTGGCAAACCATTTGGTGTATATACTTTTTGTGGTCACCATTTTCTTAAACTGCAAAGGACAGCATTCCAATAATATTCTTTTACTGAAAGACACCGAGAGGTGTAAAAGCATAAAAGGTTTAAGAAACAGGAACAAAACAAGCCAGAACCTTGGAGGAAATGCTACAGACTCTTGTATCTTATCTGTTGATTTTCTAAAACACAAAATAACTTTAATTGATGTTCAAAAGCAACGGACGTACTGTTGACATAAGGCTTTGAAAATAAAACACTGATTCAACTCCGTGAACAGGTCCTTTATGGTCACACCTTCAAAAGCACTTTTTTTTCCGCTCCTTTTTTCATCCTCCAGCTTCCTTTGTACATTTTCCAGATTTATCATGGTTCCATTCCAGTTTGTGTACTTTTCCCAGGGTATTTCTAGCTCAGTGAAGACAACCCCCCTATTAAAAATCTGAGACGCCCTGAAACTCCAGAATCCACTGTATTGTTATTCAGCCAAGAATCAAGATATGGTTACAGATGTTGTTATTAGTGTTTTTAAAATGCCTAATATGCACAACAATTAAATTTGCTATTTGGTAGATTGTTGGAATAAATTCACATTCTTTCAACTTGGTATTAACATTTCTTTGAGGTCATTAGGATGTCAGATTGGATTCTGGGCAAGGGTTAAAGGCAGCTTAACATTGATGGGACGTTTAGAGTTTTAATGACTGACCACTGTAGAAATATTCAGAATACTTATGAAAATATATGTCAGGCTATATATACACATTTTCTAAGCTTTAGCAAGGAATGGTTCCAGGAGCAGTTTTTCAACTAAATATTGAATGAATGTGAGAAATCAAATCAAAGGTTTTTTTGTGCAGAAACACCAATATCTTTGTGAAGATGTGTAGAGATGTGTATACATTTTCTTAACTTCTCTCCCCAAAACATCAAGCAAAACAAATGACAACAGCTGCCTTTCTTCTGCTTCTAATGCCGAATCACTTCCCATAAACATCGTGCAACCACTCTCACAAACAGAACAGCTTAATCATAGTTTTCTGGGGTTTTACCAAGCATCTTGTTAATTAAGCCGAATAAAAAGGTTTTCTTACATCCATTTAATAAAGACTGCGGTCTGTGTTTGGAGTATTCCCAGTGCACACAGATCTCATACAGGACAATACATATCATCTGAACTTTCATATAACCACTAACAATCATAGTTATATAGATTTCCAGTTTGAGTCTTTACAGGACAGTTTCTGTAGCTTGTTAGCTACATGTCTTACAAAGCATGTTAACCACTCCCAGACAACCAGTAATGGCATATATTTTCACCAATGCCAACATATACAATAACAAAAATAACATTTAATTACACATACAGCAAGGGCTGTGTACAAAGGCATTGGAGGCTCAGTGCACTGAAGTTCTTGCACTGTACGGGTCAATAGATTTCAATGCCTTTATCACTCCAGTCAAATTCTTTGTCTCCCTCTTTCAGGATCAACACCTAGACAACACCACACACAAAGCTGATTGTTATTTTTGGGTGAGTGTGAACATTAATCTCAGTGGTGTTGAGTCCTGGCCCTGCATTCTTTAATAATTAACAATGCTATAGTTCAGAGATTCCTGTTGTATTATGAAAAAAAAGAAAAAGTGCAGGTTTACTGTTGTCTGCTGAGAGAATTCTTAAAAACTAGAACCAATATTAATATGAATGAGACAACAGAACTGTATTAGGTAGATCTGCCCTAAGTCAAGAGCTACTGAATAATCAGATATGAAGGGGAGTCTCATCATAACTTGACTCATTGCATTTTTAAAATATTGCAAGAGATTCCCTGTGTCTAAAAAAAAAAATCTTGTTTAATTCTAGTAAATTTTAGTAGTTTGCATGAGAGTAACATTTATAGTAAAATTACAATAAATCTCAAATCAGTGCTTTGAAATCATAATCATAATCATAATCATAATCATAAGAGCTTCTTACCTTCTTCGGCACAGTGCTTTCTAGATGTTGGCTGTTTGTTTGCTCATTCAGTCTCAGGTAAGCATGGTCTGCAGACAGGAAGTTAATCTTTCACTTCCTTCCTAGGCTCCGCCCATTCTTGGCAATTTGAAAGCCCTTCACCTTGACAGTGAAGCTGTTCTACAGACCATTGGGGAAAAAAACCACCCCATTGCTGTTATAGTGAAACACAGCTGTCCTGGGAGCTGATTTATTGCAACATAACTTGAAGTGAAAAAAATGGACCATTCATTCATTTAAACCACAACAGGTCCAATTAAGGCTTCATCCCACTGAACTTACTTCTGCCTTGCTTTTTATATTGCTGATTGAATAATTGATATTTTACCCACTACAACCACTCGTCTAATAAAAAAACAGGTTCTGAAACTGTTACTGAGACCCGGTCTGGTCCACTCAAAGGCGCCAAGTTTTCTGTAGCGCTCATCAACATCCTGCTTTTCAGAACTAAAGACCGTATGAAAAAGCATAAAAAATAGAAAGGTTAAAAAGTGAAGAGGGCACTCAGGCCACCTTGCTAGTTTAGATGCAAGTAATCCCTCTGACATAAACTGTATGGAAACATTCTGATGGCAGTCAGTGTTTATCAGTTTTTTAAGGGACTTTAGGTCCAATATTTATAAGACAGGCTGGGATAAACAACAGCCCTCAAGGACATTTCTCAGCGCCTGCAGATGTCTGCGCTGCTCGTTCCTTTTCCGAGTTACAACCGGAGCTGTAGCCTCCAGGAAGACAGCCCCGCTCAAACCCTCGTGCTTTAAATGAGGGGACTCAGAACGTCTCACTCAACAGGGCTGTGTCACTCCCAGCCTCCGGACCCTGCTGCCCCCGCTGGCTGCCCTCTGACAGCCAGCAGCCGTCTCGGCCTGCAGTGATGAGAGTCTTGTGGCCAGCTGCCGGCTCCAGAAATGCCACTGAATGAAGGGCTCTTGAGTCTGTCAGCAGGCTGGTCTGGTGTGTAAGCATGCCCATCCCTCACCTGCGCCAGGCTCACAGAGACCAGAGCCTTCCCAGACACCTCCTGACAGACGCCATCCGTCATCCCCCACAAACATCTCTCCTTCACACCGGATCGCAAGGACTCGTCAGGCCTCTTTAAAGGTCCTGAGCCCAAGACCTTGTTCTTCTGCTATCATTCCCACACTAAGTTGCACCCAAATATTTTAATGATTTACGCACATAAGCAAAATAAAATATTTATCTGTATATACATCAGGCCCGCTTTCTTAAAGGCACATGGCTTGCAATTTTGCGGCGAATGGCTGGGTGATTAATGTCTTATGAAGAACAATATTTCCACTTTCTGCTATGAGGACCGTTCAAGAAAGTTCAATGTTCTGCAGACAAATAAGACTTAGCTCAAGGTTTCAAATCTTCTCGTTCTCCTTTTTCTGTTCTCAGTAATGGCCAAAAGTAGACTGATTCACAAGGGAAACTCAGCTCTGGAAGATGCTGAGGATGAAATTGTACAATCCTTTGTTTATAATTAGGAGCATGTCCCTGTCACTTTGTTCTCTCGCGATGAGGAGATCCTGGAGGGGCGTGAGGTGGGAGGGGAGGGGTGTCGGATTTATAAGGTGGATTCCTTGCACAGAAAAACAGTGTACAGCTCCATGCTCACTTAAAGGGTTTCGATGCAGTGAAAACGTCTACGAACTGATCAAGTCCATTTACTAACCAGTGTGTTGCAATGAAGATGAAGCTCAGTAAGCCGAATGCAAATAAAATAATGTCACGATGCTGATTCTACTAAAAACACACCCTTAACAGATTCTTTTTATTTCTGGCATGCTTGTATCCCCCAGGGCTTGTGCTGTGGCACTACACAAGCAGAACACTTGATTTTAGCCACAGCTCAAGCCAATGGGCTATCTTCCAGGTCTACACAAGCTATTTCAAGAGTAAATAATGTGAACTGCAATAAAATCTGACTGTAAGGTCTTGGCAGAGTTAAATACGAGTTGTAAATATAGCTTAAATCTGTACTGATTTACAGTGTTGCAGCAAATAATTGGTTATTAAATTCTTAGCTAGTTAGGATTAAGATTTCACTCAAGGCAATAGTCAGAGAAATGAAATTTAGTCAAAACAATAAACCTATAGTGTAATTTTTGGATTGTTTTTTGCATCTTCTGGAAACAGAGGCATGATTAAAAACGAGTTTATACTGGAAAGAAAAACATATTTTACATTTTAAGAGCTTGGTAAAGGATCTTTAATTAGTTTATATAAATATTTCTTTAAATTCCGCATACAAAAGGAAGTATGTACACCCACACAAAAGTGGTTTATTATCTACCGTCATGGAAAGCCCATGTAAGCAGTTCACATACTCTGAAGTGTGAGCTTTGGACTACCTGCATTCCTTGTATTATGGGAAATTTAACAATGCAAATACTCTTCTTCATACTGTCCTTGCCAGGGCCGCTGGACAAATACAGTCTTCTCTTCTCTTGGAACTTCAGAGATGAACTGGATATCCAGGCATTTAACACAGGACTCTCTTCCATTCCTGAAGCAAATAATTGAAGTGCCCTTTCCATATTCAGCACTTGTTTTGTTGTTTTCATAAAAGAGTCCCATTAAATAATCCCCAAAAGACCTTAAAATGCTTACAGTTCCATGGAATGGTTTTGAACTCAGTAATTAAAATTCAACATCAGTCCAAAGCTAGAAATGCACCATGTATTGTCCAGAGACTTGGAGGTTTCCTGCAGGATTCCGATATCATGTATTTTTTTTTTATTATAAAATGTGTAACAAAATAGGTTTCCACTTTCCACAATAAGGTACTCTGCCCAAATTCAGGAAAATCCTCAAGCACAGTTCTCTTCGCGTACAAAAATATGCACCTTTCGGACACTTTCGCTTCAGCTGTCCTCAAAACGCAGGGTCCATCGGCGACAAGAGGTTAACGAAAAGAAAAATAGAATTGCTCTCGACAAGACACACATTGAAGCTTAAGACAAAAGGAAGCCCTTCTTCGTCTATAGTGCTTTGGTTATCTGTTGTTTAAAGAGGTCGACAGAGATGGAAAGCGGCTCATTTGCACACATATCTCTCCACAGTTCTCTCACATTTCTTACAGGTCACGTAGCAACACCAGTGGTATTTGCAGTGGCACCTCTCCACCAGCTTCTCTGTGTAAGGGTTGTAGCCACGGCCACAGCACATCAAGTCACAGCTGTCACTGCCATTGGAGGTCTTGTTACATTGCCTGCGGAGCAGAGACAGGAGAAAAACACCCTTAAATACCTCGAGTTCCACCGCGACGCCTAGAGAACAAGACAAACTCTCCTTTCGGGGTCGTGCAACACATCTGAGCGCCGCTGACAGTTTGTTTCAAGACCGCGGCGCTCTGAAGGCCTCACTGAAGGGAGATGCTGATTCTGTTCTCCCTACCCCCCCGAGTCACACTCAAGAACTGCCCAGATCTTCCAATCCTGCAAAACGACTGTTCACAGACACACACAAGTTCAATCTCCCACTGAACACTCAACCCCCAAGCAAATGGAAAGGCCTTATTTCAGGATTTCTGATCTTGGAGAACTTTCCTCAAGATAAGAACCATACTCAGACATCCCTTTTATTCATAAGTCCTACCCCAATAGGCCCTTTTCTAATATACTGTATATTCTTTCTAATACCATAAATCAGTGGGAGCTGCAAAAGAACACTAAGAGAGCTTGTACACCAACTGGGTTAGTGAAGTGTACACAACAGTTTGACCAGTTGGACAGAGGTGGATTGAAGTTAATCTTACTCTACATTACAAATGCACACTGGAATGCAAACAGCTCATTATACATTTTAACCAGCGAGCAAAGGCTTGATTGCCAATCATCCTTGACAGACAGATGCCCTTCCTGATCCATATGCAGGTGCAGGTTTCGTCTAGGTGGCATGAAGTTGACATATCACAGATCACCCTTTTGACAATGGCTAAAAAAAACTTATGACTTTCTGCAACGCTGTATGTAAATCCAGTAGTACCATATCATGCATCTTGTGCTATGGTCTACAACCCACTCCAGTTAATTTCAAATTATCTGGTTTGAAGAGAACAAGCTGCAGAGAGCACAACAATGGATGTTTCACCTGCTACATGTCTCTAACCAGTGTACGTATCCTTACAAACACAATCCTGTCCCACTGCACTGTAGTTTACAAGCAGGTGAAGGTAAACTAAGGAGTGAGATCTCAAGCAAGAAGCTCTAAAGCAGCTAAGATAATATTCATATGGAAAATCATATATGTATATAATATAACAAATGTATTCGTTCTGCAAAAGGGGTTCTGTATTTCAGAGCTATGCTGCCTCCATGGGTTTGGAGAGAGGTTAATATTCTTAAGGCCTCATGACCTGACGTTTATCTCCTCCACATTAAGCAGGATATCAGCTGTCAAAATCGAAGCAAGCACCGACTCTCGGATTTCGTATTAATAAATTATTATTTAGGTTTTCGGGTGAAATAATACAGGTGATCCACAATACCAATATGCTGGCCTTGAAAAAAGAGGGTGTTAATTGGTTATTTCTAAAGGATAACAATTAACATTAAATGTTTACAATGTTTTAAGTGTGTACTTGTCATTTATAAGGGTATATGCTCCTTTAATTGTTTTGCCCATTTAGAATAAGACTCAAGACAAAATAACCCCAATTATGGTGATGTTGTACAAAAGCACTGTACTGTAGGTTGTACTTCACAATAAATATCTGTAAGATTCACTTCCATTCTCATTACAATGGACGACAATATTCACTAACAAAAGGCGCAGTAAAACTCCAGCTGTTTCACGCTGGGCATTATCGTTCTGCAGGAACGTAATGGTTCAACACATGGAGACATTGAAGTTCCTGCCTTTTCTAGAAGATTCAGGAATTTTCATGAAAGATATCTGGGACTCCTTTCCGCAGACTGAAGTAAAACAGAAACAATGTGACTGGGCTATAAAGCTGATCCCAGATTACAAGGCAAAAGTGTGCCTGCCTGCAGCTTGCTTGGAGAAATGTCTTCCGCCAGCACTAACCACCCCCAGCACTTCACAGAACAATTACTTCACTGTCATAAAACTCATAGCCCCGTTTTCAAAAGGATCTTAAAAGCATATAACCGATAGGGGAAAAGTCTGTACCAAAATGATTTTCACAGCTCCGTATGTCAGTACACATAATTACTCAGGGTCTGACAGTTTTTAACTATTCGTTTATTATTTAAAATGTGTCATTATCCTGTTATAGCAAATGCCAGTAACGCCCTGATGAATTATTTTAGATTCTGATTCTAATTCCAGCCTGGAAAATCGTTCTCCAAAGGCACTGCTCCAAGTTCACCATCTCCCCCTTGGATATATTTAACCCTGTCACCTTTTACTCCATTTCCTCACTGTTTGCTATTAAAATATTCAAGTGAACCACAACGTTAAAATTAAACAATCTTGTTTAACTCCATTTAGAAGGCAGCAATTGAGATGTTTGTTTTTTTTTTGGGGGGGGGGGGGTATTTTTTTCAGGTAGCTGAAAATTTCAGAGCAGCTGAATGCAGTTTTGGTTCTCTTTTCTCACAGTCTTCTTGATGTACTTGGGACCTAAATTAAATCGATGATAGCAGCCTAAGTGGAGCCTCACAATCCTTGTATCACTCGCATAGATACAGCCTGACAATAGCTACTGCACATATAACACTGACACAGCATCACAATAGCTATGTCACTGACACATACACAGCCTTGTAGATACAAGGCAAGCTCATTAGCCCGCTTGCTTTATCAGTGCTTTTAAACACGTGGGCACTGCTAGCCACATGTTTCAATGAATTGCTCTTGACAATACACAGAATACAAAGAGGAAAATCCAGAAAAAAACACAACCTATTGATAGAACAACATTTCCTCTCACATTAGAGAATGATCACCCATAATGGTGTGTCATAGCCTGACATAAAACTCACACAACTGTTTCTTTATTTAGACGTGTCAGTTCCAAACCACACTGAGCAATTCTTAACTTTTTATTCTAGTAATTGGAGTCAATGTAAAATGAAAGCCTCTGCCTCTGATCCCCAGGTGTCCCATGATGTTTTTCAGGATGTGTACAATACCAACACAAAACAGTCAGAACGCAAATCAGAAAGGACAAGACTAAGATAAAGCTTCTCTTTGCACAGTGGTGAAAGGTAAATAGGTGAAGGTAAGGACAGTACTTATACCAAAGGATACCTTAATCTTTTAAGAGTTACTCAAAGGAGCAATTCTTATTGCTCACAGCCTACGCATCAGATAAGGCACTTTATTGTCACAATTCATGAAAATAGCTAAATTCTCATTTGCCCTTCCAGAAAGCCTGAGAATAAGTATTGCAAGGGTGTGGGCTGCCCAGGCAAAGTGCAAAGTGGAAAAGAAGCACCTTGAAATTCAGGGCCCGGCTCACCTGTCCTGTGTCCCTAAGGAGCCCAGCTTCTCGTTCTTGGTGCAGAAGTCCGGCGAGCTCTGCAGGTACACCAGCTCGTTCTCCTGGACCGGGCGGATGTCGATGTCCTTGGGGACCAGCTGCTTGCGCGTGCCCATCGGCCGGTGCACCACCTTGGTGGCAGACAGGTACTTGGTCTTCAGGTCGATGGCAATGTCCTTCAGGTCCTGCAGGCCCTTCCAGCAGGTCCGTATGGAGCAGGAGCCCGACACTCCATGACACTTGCACTTCATCTCCAAGGCATCCCGCAGGGCCTGTGAGCACGCAGACTTGTTTCAGGGCCAAACAAAAAAGAACTGGAGCCAACGACTCCATCTACATCATCTAATCAAGGTTGGTTTTATCAAAGGTGGACAATTAAGCCTTTTAAACTGATCCCCTGTCACTTGTTCTCATAGCTTTACTGCTGGTCCTCTTCTGCCAATCAAGAGGCAAAACTAGTGTTTTCCTTTAGCCATGTGTCTTTAGCTAAATGCCATTGATTTCCATAGTTTCCATGCCTGGTGACCAGAAACTTGTGTGGTGACTGTATGAGTGTATGCACGCTGGAGCAAGGCGAACACTGCAGTGCAGAGACACGTTCAGTGCCCACGCCACCGCTTAAACCCTCAGCAACATACCTGTCTCCCCACTTCGCTGTTGTGCAGGTGCATCAGTTTGTTGGCCTGGGAGCCGGACCGCTTCATCTTCATGGGGGCGTCGGAGAACTTGGAGCCCATCATGAGGCCGTAGTGGAGGTTGTCAGCACAGCCCCCCCAGCGGTGGCCCTGCTGGAGGACCTCCGTGGGGATCGGTCCGCAGGAGCATCCCCGCAGGTCCCCCGAGGTGCAGGCGCGCGCTATGGTGTGGCTGATGGCCGCCGCTGACAGGGCGTACACAAACGCCGACTCCCTCGTACCTGGCGCAGGTGAGAAAATGGGCACATTGGGTGGAATCCGTCAGTCAGCTGTGGTTGACTTGTGAGGGTGACACACAGGCTCTTGTTTTACATGAAGAAGGCCCAGAAAAGTAACACACCCAAACATAATCCCTATTCATTACCATATTTACACAACACTGCTCATATGTCTTAAGGCAACCTCTATCGTACCTAAAGCTGACAAAAACTCCTACTCATCTGAATTTGGTAAACGGCTGTTAAAAATTAGCCTCAAAAAGGGTTATTTGGCCTTCGTTTTAATCTTTTTTACGTTATCTGGGAATTAAACAGGTCACACACTCAAGCAGGGGAAACACTGTCTGTGACGGATCTCTGGACCCTAGAATCATATGCCCCGCTGTCTTAAACTGTTTCCCACAGAATAAAAAATATCTCAGTCACAGGGATACAATGTGACCTGCTACCTGTACCAACTGTATGTTGTACCTGCAGAGCCTCAGTATAGTTGCATTCTATAATGAATTCCCTTTATAATTTTACACATATCAGATGGGAACAATTTTTTTGAATGGGCTGATGCAATGTAGCATTTATCCCCGTGTTAAATGTGATTCAGATGCCAGGCAATGTGTCCCAGTTATTTCATAGCACACTGAAATGAGAAGCCTCACTGGATGCCAAGATTGGTTCAGGAAGCACTGCATTTGCACAACCACATGATGCAATGAGAAAAGCTACAAAGTAAAATGTCTTAACCCCCAAAGGAGCTCAAAGGATTTTACATGCAGGAAAAATTTCATTTCATCCACCAGTGAAATGCAGCACCTGTCTAGATAACGCTATGTCATCCATTGCAAACCCAAATGAAAAATGTAAAATTTTATGCTGTTATCTGGTCCATTCTAAAACACAGTAGCCTTGTTATGGATGGGGATGATACAAGGATTTCTTTAGATATAAATCTACATACAGGGAAGTGTAATAAACAGGAAAGAAACAGCTGGTGGAGGGCCCAAAAGAGCCACACCTTGGTTTGACATGGGGATACATCAAAGGAGCCTTTGGACTGTCCAAGATGCAAGCCATTTGTAGCCGAGAGAAGGTTTTAAGGTAGCTTAAATAGTTGACAGGTGGAGGCCGTCTTCTTAAAGGCATGTCATTCGGCCTTCAACACTCGTTTGATAGGGAGCCAGCTCTTTGAAGTGAGCTTAGAACTTCACACAGATTTAGCAAACCTGCTTTGGCAATTGGCGTTTCTGGCACAGGAGAAGTTACTTGGGAATTGGATTGATAAGCAAATAAACCTATTAAAACTGAAAAAAGGGGTGCACGGCGGCGCCTCTGGCCAAGACTTGGCAGGACGTGAACGATGCCTCTGTAGACATCTGCATCTGCACGGCATCCGCCTTCATGACGCTAAACGGCATGTAATTTCAAGTTAGACTGCAGACAAAAGCAACATTTCAGCTTCTTCGGAGAACACAAAAACAAAAGGTTCAAGAATGGGAGGAACATATAATAGAAGCATGATGGATGAAGTCCATAAAAAGAAGTACTAGGGACAAAAACTAGGAAGTATTATACCTTATAAAATGGCATTGTGAAGTCAATCTGAGCCCTGATGCTGCCCGCACCATACAAACTTCAATCACAACTTCCTCTTCAACCTGCAAATTGTAGCAATTTTCTCCCCACGAAGCATGGAGAGTATTTTGGTCTAAAAGCTCATACTACTTTTCTGAGCTTGATCCGCAAAGATAGGCTTTGTAATATTTAGTTTTTACAGCACACGAAGCCGACGGCCTTAAGGTTCTCAGAGAGAGACGGGCCCGTCGGCCCAGGCTGAACAGGAGGGGTTTATGAACAGGAAATTGTAGGAGGCGGGGAGGAGGTGACTTCTATTGTGCAGAGAGTGACACAATAAAGCATTCTCTGCCTTTGCGTGCCTTTGATTCAATGCCGTTGTGAATTCCGTGCAGTCTACAAAGCCAATGAAGAGAGGCCAGAACCTCCCTCCCTCACCGCTATCCTCTTACACAAGTTACACAAGTTTGATAATGTCTGGGCGCACAGAATTCCTCCTGGGCAGCGGCAGATCACAGAAGACACTGCAAGGCCTTGAGTCCACGGAGCGGCATGTGTTACCTCTCTCCAGGTCTGGCATGAACTGTGGCACGCTCTCTATGGAGGAGCAGTTCCAGCGCATGTCGCCGAATGTTTTCTGACAGGTCTTCTTCACTTCCCTGGCGGCCTGGATGATGGTGTGCATGAGCTCCAGGTTACTGCGGCACAGCTGCACCTGAGACGAGACCAGGCCCTGTAGCTGTTTGCAGTGTTGAGTCTGGTTTAGGTGTAGGGAGGCAGATGTCTTGGCCAGAGCTCTAAATACCAACAGAAATAATGATTTTGCCTTTTAAAAAGACTAAATAAAAGTTCTGCTCTTTGTAGCATCTCCTAAGCCACTGTGATATTATTTTCATGGTCCATGTAACTACAGAACAAAAGCCTGGTAAACACAAACCTAACAGATAAACTATATCATTATAAACTATATAACTATATTACTGATCAAATATAAAGTATTTTGTATTTCTTAAATCCATAGAGATCATGGGGAGAAACTATTAAATCTGTCATTGCAGAATGTCACAAAGCATCGTAATCTATCTGAGACAATCAAATTTAAAAAAAAATCACAAACTCATTTGCATCTTGTTCTTGACTTTTGCCTGATTGTACAGCGAAATTTCTCCATGATAACAGCTTCTACCACACCTCTACAATTCAGATTGGTTTAGCATTCATAGTAGCGTGCTCATTTCTAGCAATTTTATATAACTGCCACTTAATAAATGCAATTTATAAAACTGTCAAACCTAGTTTAATATAATAATCAACACAAGTATTCTAATTTTGAAAACACTATGTAAAACTTACATTACCTTTCCCAGGTCTTTAATCAAGAAAGTCATGATACAGCAATAGACCATTGAAGGCAAGTCAGTTCAATAAGTTGTATTTATTCTACCCAGTACAGTCCTCTTGATGACCCTTCTCCAGCCCCATAAAAATAACTTTCTAAATATATCTATATAACTAATTAAAAAGGAATGTTTTATTTTCAGTAACACTGGAATAAAAAAAAAAAACATTCTGCGTTAACACAATTTGAACTGAAGACTAAGTTTAAATTCTGGCACAGGCATGTGCATTAGATGATTCAGATGTTAAAAATACAACACACTACACCAGCCTGTCAGGGTATTGCTCCAGTACACCTCCTTTATCAGCAAGAGCTGGAATAAGAGTGATTGTGCCACCTTTGACTTAGGCTACTAAATACAGATGCACAAGATGTTCTGCTGTTCTGCAGTTCACTGGGGTACCCTTCACCCATGTCTGCTTCCGATTAAGGCTACACAGTACTGTGCCCATACCGAGCTATGGCTTTCACTCTGGGTTACCCACTTAGGGCAGGTGTTTATTACTGCATCTGTTTCAAATTGGTTCTTAGGCTTGAAAGCTTTATAAGCCCTTGCTTGCTTGCATTCATCACATCTGTGCTTGTCTTTTAGACAAAGCTTGCTGAAAAGGGATTTGAAAAGCATGCAACAGTTTATTCCCACCAGGACTGGTCACCACTGGTGCTACCGATGTCTTACCCACACAGCACGTAGGTAAGGAAACGGGCAGCAATATGCTTTCAAATTGAATCAGATCTAGCAGCTGAAATTGGTGAGAGGAATTTAATTCCAAGACAGCTGAACATCACAGAGTCACACACCCTCCACTGGTGTAGAGCAATAAATTGGTGTAGAGCCCAGGCCTTTTTGTGGAGGAAAACGTGTAAGTCATCATAAGATTACGAAACATATTCTGATATTATAATTCTGCGTGTGTGCATGATTTCCTTGACGAGCCATCTCGTGTAAGCAATCAATCAAAAAAAACTTGTATTCAAAATTATTTTCAGGGAATTATTATTTCACAAGGAATTAATGAGTGTGTGTCTGTAATTCTTTCACAAAACTTTGTATACCATTTATTGACATTTTTACAAGGAAGAAAAAGGCTTTCTTCATGTTATTTCTAAAAGAAACGGATACATCACAGGAAAGCTTAACTGAGATAGGTGCTTGGGGCACCTGTCTGAAACATGACCTGATTTTCTTGATTGCCTTCATTAAAAACCCTAGAACAAACCCTCCACTACTTGCACGTTTAACACTGATATGTGTGCCTTTCTCTCTTCAAAACAAGGAAGTTCTCAGGAATGGCCACAGCCCCACAGAAATGTGACGGTGTGGAGGTGTGTGTGTGTGTGTTTTGGGATCCAGAGTAGAACGATTGTGCGCATTTCCATTGGGAAGCACCCCTGCATCTGAGGGATAAAATGGAAATAGGAATGCTTACAGCCATTTAATCCCAGAGCAGAGTTCCGTCTGTAGCTGTAGGATGATCAAGGTCAACTGCAGAAGGTGAAGGGTGGCTTTCATTTTTTTTTCCGGTCCGAGGCGCTCGGAATTGAATCAGGACGATGAAAATGGCTTCTTAGTTTTTTACCTACAATAAAAACCTTCCGAACGCAGAACCGCCGTTCTCTCCTCCGTGAGTCTTCGGGCTGCTGGAACATAAAACACAGGCGTTTCGCCCCTAATATATTAAAATGCATAGAAACGTCAATTCAATTAACACATTATTGCACTCTAGGAGTGGGTCGTGTATGTGCATGTTCACACATTTCTTCTACTGATGGCGTACTCGAGGGATTGCAGGTGAAACGTTTAGAAAATTGCACGCAAGCAAATACACGTCGAAAAGGAAACCGAAAATAACACATGACTCTGCGGTCATCCAGATCTGTTTTATCAAGATATAATTGTAGCTCGTAATTGAAACGATTACTAGGATGTCAAAATAAGGGTTATACTATACAATTATGGAAAGCCTGTTATACTAAACCGAACTTGCGGTGTATATTACCATCTTTAGCCAGGTAAATCCTTCATAGTAGGGCTCCTTTAACAAACGCCTCGATCCCTATTAATTACACCGGTGCCAGTAGCTTCAAATCACAATAATGAAGCTCCGGGTTGCCTGTCTCAATGCTTCTGTCTTAGTTATATTAGTTCCACTTAGATACACTCCTCGTTGACATCCAAGCTTCTACGAGCGGGCTTGTATGTCTTATAGAGTCTGCTAGAAGAAACACTGTTCTTGCTCCCCGAATCAAAATAACTATCCACCTTATAGCTGCAAATCGATTAGAGCTACTACTGTCTGCTTGGGTGGGGGGGTAGCTTATTTCACGTTTTTTAAACAAAGATGAGAATTGACTTCAAATAATCCAAAATTTTATAAAATACGTTTTCAGGTCTACTATGAAATACATTGATGTTATAGTAAAGACTCTGAAAACACGTTTTGGAGGAAATGTAACACGTAGATTTAAAAGCGAATATTTAATTCATTTGTAGTCCATTTCAATGAAAGAAGACGGGTTTAATAAATGCATATCTACACTACACTAAAGGCCCATATACAAACATTAATAAAAGAGTATACCCTTGTACAATTTCGCAGCTTTACATCATAATTGTTATCTGGCATCTGGTAAAGAAAAAAAATTAGGTCTGAAGAAAAACTTGTTGATAAGTATAGGAAGCATTTCTGAGTTTGGCGTTTTTCAGAATCCTGAACTGCGGATGGAAAGGAAACACCTACTGTAACTAACCTACTAGGGCATCTTACTATACGTAACATACAAGTCTATCTCGTTTCACAGTTGAGGGAAAACTTTTTTTTTTTTTGCCGTAACAAAAAGGTTTTAAACCCATTAGTATTATTTCAACACCAGTGACGCAAAGAAAGGGTCGAAAGATCACCACTAGGGTCATTAAATTCAACTGTACAGTCCTGCCAGGTCTGGGCTTGGTTTGAAAGCAACCTGCTGTTGCGAACTGAATTTATCTCCCTGCTCTCGCTGGGAAAGCAGTAGTTACCGAAGTTAATTAGGTATAACGTAAGCGGACAAATTCTCTGTAGTTTTCTTTCCAGTGGAAATATCGTATGTATCTCAAATATGTTAATATTTAAATGCCTTATTTCCAATGACAAAATATCTGAGTAGATTTCAAAGGTTTCCATTGTGTGGTATATACCTTATATATTCGTTCATTCACTTAAGGCGTTTTAAAAGAAAAAGCCTCTCATGGCCCGGAATATAATGTTAGCCTCGAAATACTGTAGTCTCTTGCATCTCACAAAACTGTCAAAAGAACAAAATAGTGCTCTTAATTCTTTCACTACATTTGGCTTCAGCAGGTCCCGTCAATGCTTGCAGTTATCATTTTTCTCATTGAGTTTAGTCACAAAAGTGTGATAAAATTCTTTACATAAAAATAAATGTTCCATTAAAGCAGACATTTTTGGGCTAAACTCAAAAACGAATAGGAAGGTCTTGCAAGTCGTTTTGTTAATTTGCTATGATATTACAGTCCCATCGCGTTAGAAGTTAGGATTTCAACAGAAACCTAAATGCTGTCCTTAATACTGTATCGGATTACCATAGTCGATACGCTCATTAGAAACAGAACCATAATATATATAAAACCCTGAACACGTATAAATACAGTGCACGTCGCAGCTTTCCAATCAGAGCACAATCTGAGTTTCACTTACTTTTTCCGATTTAAAAAAGAAGCCTGTGGGTTTTCACTTTTCACTGAGGACCAGCCGTCAAAACGTGTTTGTAAATCCAAGGTGTTTACAAATTGGTGACCCCAAACTTCCAAGCAGCATCATTGAACTGTGCCTCCGCAGTTTAAGTTGAAGTGAGTTGGTTTAACGGAGCGAGACTGCGCAGGCACACAGCTCTTGTGCGGAAAGTGTGAGACTCGCGGTGTTGCTGAAGCCCCTACTTATATGAGCACTGCGCCGCTTTGATCTCACTGTGATGTCAGGCAGGCGTAATTAGCATAACAAAGCACACGGGATTTAGGCTTTTAAAGAGAACTAAAGAACATTACTACATCTTTCTTTATCTAAAAAAAACGATACGAATCTGTGCTACGCAGCCGTGCGTCGTATTAGTTCACGAAAGGGGAAAATGTGCACCAGTAACATAGCATATTACAAATACAGAAAACCGTAATATTTTCATATTGATATTATTACCATGAAATGATTATTTTAAAAATGCACTTGTAGAGCCTCGAGTCCCGTCCGAGTGACCTGTGATTTTCATTTTCAAAGTTTCCCACACGAAACAAAGCACTATTTATATTTTTTTTAAAATCGACATACCAGTGAGAAAACAGCAGCTTTCATAATTGCGCAATATTGTGAAAAAAGTACCATATCACTACGTCATAGCTCTTACATTAACTTTACCGTTGACATCGATCGGTAAACATCTGTATGAATCTTACCCGGCTGTTCCGTGTCATCTCTAAACTATATTCTGAATTCCGTTATGGACAGTTTTGGGTTCAGTTTTGCAATATTGTATAGAGTATTTCAAAATTGCATCTACTTGATCTAATGGTTTAGATAAAGTAATCGCTATTAATACAGGCATGTTTACCCCATCGTGTTACCCATTAGATAAATGTGTTTGTAGAGAACAGACACAAACTATGAGAAATTCTTTTTCCGTGTTGTTTACGGTTATAATTATTTAATGAACAGTGAAAGTTCCCGATAAGTTATCAGGGATTCACTCATTTTTTAGCTTCAGAACAAAACGATTCATAACTTACAGCTTGGACATGAAGCTACAAAAAACTTTCTCCAGTATCAAGGGTTAAATTGCTAATATTTTTACCAGCTATGTTAAGCATTGAATTAATAGTTTCTATGTTATAATAAAAGTCAAGATGTTCTCTATAGGACTTCTCCATATGCTTTTATTATTAACCTGGCTCTATGGTTCAGCTCAGTTCCTCTCCTGCGGAGAATTCCGTGTAGCGCTCACAACTTTCCCTATAATAAAAAAACACCACACACAAAACACTTCAAATAGCCTTGCAATTAAGATACCTTAATTAATCCACTTTCCATCCACATTGTTCCAATGGATACTTTTAAAAAAGGAAAATTCTTTCATTTGCGTGCTATTTATAACTTTAATTTGGAAAACAGGAAAGAATAGCATTTTTAAAAGTAGCGATTAGAGTGAGACCATAAAAGCTATTTTAAGATGAAAAAGGAACTTGTCTAACTCTCATCTTAAATCCTGGAATTATTAAAGCAATAAATAGTTAAGAATGTCCTCCAAAACGCTAACCATTTAATTTAAAAATGCACAAAACACACTAAAATAACTTGGAACCTGGATCAAAGATATCCAGGCATAAATATCCCATTAATAGTGGCAAAGGGCATCAAGCATAATAAAAACATGTTTGGCTATACACAAATAAGCGGGAAGTTTATGGTAACTGCTGAATTATTTCTCCGGTGTTAGATAAACGAGATGAAGAACAGGGGAAGTTCAGTTTTTCTGGAATACGATAGCTTCAGATTGTAACGTTATTTTTAATACGTGGAATCAAATAAAGCTTAGGACAATTCTCATTTACTGAAAACTTTCGTTAATGTTGCAGCGTTTACACTGCGGTGCCAAAAGCCGACACGTAACAAAAAAAAAACTTGAATTGGTTTTAATTCGGTGTATTTGTGCTGAAATTCGACGATTTTCGTGAACAAAAATGACGTCTTCTCCTCAGCGTTCACACGCTTACAATTAGACTTCACAGGATAGAACACGTTTAATATGCCTGCCGGGTGCACAGCCTTGCTTTGTGTTTTATGTCATTAACGAAAGTGCATAAGAAGAGTTGGAAAACAAATGAAAATGAACCACAACCACATATTTTTAAGTGCACCGTATACGTAACGCACACGCAGTAGATGTGCAGTCTGATGTTCAGGGTTCTTTGAGGATCAAAAGGACTTCAGTCCACAGGGACTATTTTCTGCTGTAAGTTTCAAACCGCACAGTTTGAAATATTCTTGTTTGTGTTGAAGGTTTCTCTAAAATGGTCATGGTCACAGTAAAAGCAGAAAATATACCGTTGTTGACCTCAAAAACTCTATAAGCAAATCAATCCCAAACTTTTTTTTTGTGTGCGGGATAAGTACAGTATATGGAACAGGTTTACTAACTTCCGCTCCCCAGCTAAGACTTAATTGAACAAATAAATTAAATATTAAGCACGGCCTAATTAAAAACAAACTGCGCACATACAGTTGCGCTAATACAGAAATTCCACTTTCCCTTTTTCTCTTTGAAGCATTCGGCTTTTTAATGCGTTGAAGACCGTTGAGACAAAAATCAGACCCATGTGAGTTAAATACTGCACATCTTATTTTGCCGGCAAACTCCTTTTCCAAAGTCAAATTTGTCTGGTCGTTTTTAGTTTGGTCATAAATTTATGAAGCTGAACTGCAGAAACAAAAACACAAAGGGGACATATTTTTGAATCTTTCTCATTTTAAAAGTCTATCCAGGAAATAAGGTGGAAACAGCGCGATGTAATAAGCGAATCAATGAAGCCGTTAATGAGATCAACATTTCAGAAGAGAACTCTAAAAAACGTGAATGGTTACTGATGAGTTGTGAGGCTATAGTTAAATAACTGACATTAAATTGCATTAATTATTACAAGTTCGTCTGCTGGAAACCACTCATCTAGTTTGGGAGATCAATATGAAACAAGGATATAATTTAGAAGATAACAGGCAGCCATAGCGACATAGCAGTAGGAAATGTGTGGTTTTAAATTATGAACGAGAACCGTTCCCTGATGGGTCAATACTTCTCTATAATGTATGCACTTGGTAATTAGGCGTGGGGCTACAGTTTGTGAAGTAAGTCTTAAGGAACCGTGCCCAAGTTTAATTCACGTTTACGATGAAAATTATTGTTAATCCGTAAGGACGTTGTTCCATTCGATTTGTCCTTCGAAAAAAAAGTCAATTCATAGCACATCGATATCCGAAAATATTTAAGAAACACTACGTTTGAGGATACTTTTCTATCCACATGACCTACATTGATAACAACACGTATCCAGTGATGCTAATTGTGTGATGCTTTATATACAGTATTTGACCTATTAAATTCGTAAGACCGAAATCCTAAAACAGAAATGAGTATAGCAAAAGAACGACAAGCTCTCAGAACTACAAAAGAAGATGAAAGATGGAAACTATCATATTTCGTCTTCTAGGCTGTCTGTACGGCGAAAATAATTAACGGTTGTCAACAAAATAAGTTTTTATTTGATCCGAATGCACGGACGCAGTCGAGTGAAGGATGTTGGTGTTGCAGAAGGTTTGAGCCACGGTGGGTCTCTGAAAAACATCAAAGGAAAGCGCAGAAGAATTTAAGGACCGGACATAACGCTGAAATTTCCATTGATTGAAGTTGCCTAGTATAGCCAAATATTGGCTCGCTAAGCTGATTACTTTATATATATATTACACGAATTGAAAGCTCAAATCGCAAACATTTCATTTAAAGAAAGAAAATGAATCAAAGAGAACCTTTCCGTATAATTTAATACAAAATAGGAACTAAGTCATTTCTACCAAATGCATTTGGGTAGTTGAATTCAGGCTACGGCTTTTAAAGGATTGATGATGTGTGTATCTACAAGCATTCAAAAATATGAAGTGATTTAGCTTTCAAAATCTTAGGTTTCAAACGTATGGATTTTAAGATTTAATTTAAATTTGATTTATGTAGCCTGCTTTTTAATTTTTTTCCCTTATTGGCTATAAGGCCTCGGTGTTTCTGATTGAGATTATGTTGAGATACTGGGCTTTAAAATACTTTTATTATTGTGATTTATTATTAGAAAAATTAGCTTCCAAAGCCTCTTTCGACATTATGGCACTAGCTTAAAGTTATTGTCTGCATTTCTTTTTTCTTTCATATGGGTCTGACAGATGTTTTCGTTTTGCTAGGTTATTCATGGGACAAAGATGCGCAGCCCTTGAGCGCACAATGCGTGACTCCCGAACTCTCCGAGACGTTCTCTGTTTGCGTTTCTTGCCTTCCGGTTTTTTCGTTTTTGGTTTAAACGGGTTTTTTTTGATTTTGTTTTTTTTTTTTTTTTTATTCGTTGTTTTTTTTTTTATTTTGCCCTTGGGCAATTGTTTTTTTTGCCGTTTTTTTTTACCACAGTTACTGCCAAGTTCAATTATAGTTTGGAAAAATAACAATAATCAGAAAATACAGAGGACCCATGAGTGACTTCAAAAACCAGACTGAGATCTGTATGTACACTTACTATCAACACAGTGGGTAAAGAAAGCTGTTAATAGCCACGTAGTCTCTTGCAACCAAATTCAGCAGATTTACTTGTCCAGTGAAGAGAGACTGTGGCGTTCCTGACGCCATAAAACTCCAATAATTCACATATAGAAACACCAACCGCAATTATAACCATGGGATAAAAGGTTAAACGCAACTCTTGGCTGTACGAAACGGAATTATATATCTGGGAATATACAACTAAAAACTCCAGATTTTATAACAACTGACAGGTTTGCTGGTGTGATGGTATGATTTTCGCTGCTTGTCCAAGATATCTCGGGTTATGACGGCGATCCCGAATTTATTAAATGCTTCGCAAGTTATTCATCTTAGCCAAATAACATTATCCGACCTGAAGAGTATACGATCACATTACATGAATTTTTTACAACTCAAGTAACAAAAAAGCATCACAGCTCATAAAATGTACCTCAGAATTTGGTTTAGTACTAAACCAAAACCCAAAGTGAATACTGTAAAAAAAATTGGATAAAATACATTGGCCTTTCGTAATAAGAGCAAAATTAAGAACCACGGTGCTCGTCCGGGATTTTGAACCC